CCCCCCCCCCCACATGCACACACTGACACAGACACATGCACACGTGTACACACACACATTTGCACTCTGCCATCCAGCTCAGTGGTTTGGAGCCTCCTGCATTCAGGGTCGGTGGGAGTGGACTTCCTGAAAACAATGGAATGGACTAATCTGCGGATTTGCTAGTGGATTTGATAAAGGAACATGTTCTAAGCCAAAGTTTCTCTGACCTCTTGTTAAAAACTTCTCATCTCTCCCTTCCCTTCCCATCCCTCCCACCCCTTGTTCTTTTTGTGAATGGGGGGAGAGTGGATTACCAGAGATGCTGTGTCTCTAATTAAACTATTCTCTCTGTTACATCCCCCCCTTATTTCTATACGTCCATCTTCTGTCCCAAAGCAGACAGACAATCCTCACATTCTCTTTCTTTTGGCATTTTGGCACAACTGTTAGTTTGAATGAAAAGGCCCATGCTGATGACTCCTAACAGGAGTAAGGCGCAGCGGTGTCGGGGTCACAAGTCAAAGGTCAATCCTTTCGGGTCAGGCGAAGGTTAATAAGGTGTTTTGTCACTTGAAAAAAAGTCTAATCTCCCTGAGACTCAAAAGGATGCATCTTTCCTTTGGCAAACTCCACAAGTAGCTGCCTACCCCCTTCTCATGCTGTCTAACCCTTTCTTTCATGTCACTCCTCTTTGTAGTCCACCCTTTGTAGACCATTTCAACAAGGCAATACTTTCCAAAGCCATGGTTTGTCCAGGATTAATTTACGGCAACATTTCCTGAATCCCCCTTTTCAATCTGCTCATCATCTTTCATGGAAAGCTGTCCTGCGCCAGCCTTTTTGAATGGCAAGCTAGTTGATAACCGTGAAACAATTAAAATTCCAGCCTTTGGCCCTCTCTCCGTGAGCTGTCTTGAAGCTCGGTCGGGCACAAATGCAACTCTGCCGACAGGAGCCCACTTGATGAGGGTATTATTTTAATGGGAAAGAGTCGCCTATTCATTACGTGCATGTGGCCATCACTGACACACAAAGAACAGATAATGACATGAACCAAAAGATGGCAAGGTGCCAAGTCTGCTTAAAAAATGCTGCCCACTCGCCAAGTTACAGTGCCAGTGACTCAACCAGGCAGCTGCAGACAATAAAGTGGAAACTGGCCTCCTTTACGGTTTTAACTGAGCTCATAAACATCATATTTACATATCAACTATCACTGATTGGACTTGTCATTTATGTGACCATATGATTAAATATTATTTCACTCCAAAGCAAGCTTATTCTTTCCAGCAGTGATAGCCTGCTGGCTGTTTTCGAGGTCTTTCCCAGAAATAGATGCTGCTGGAGACTGGAGCTGAAACTGCAGAATGCATTTAGCATTCTTACGCCCATGTTTCCTGTTTACCATATTGTTTTCTTATGTGGTGCCTACTTCCTTATGAGTGGGCGCTGGGCGGTAGTATCTTTGGATGCATTTCTGTAGGCTTAAAAAATACATCGAAAACATCATAACATAGAATTAATCTTGATAATCAAAACTAGTTCCAACAACTAGCATTCCTTGAAAATGGTGCACAGAAACTTATCAGTGCAGCACATGTGTGAACTCTGTGTTTGGGAAATATCTTTGGCTACTCCTATGCGGAAACCCACAACATTAGGTCAAGGCCATGTGGTGTGTTGTGCCACTGATGGTGAAGAATGTGACATATTGAGGACAAACAGCCTTTTCCACAAACAAAAATATGGGGAAAGCCCACATTCGTGTTTTCCACTTGTTTGTGAAAGAACCACACTGTTATTGTTTTCCTGTCATTTTGAATTACAGCACTGTGAGAATACTTCTTGCCTTTCTCTATAATTGTCCATTTCTCTGTGAAAGGAATCCCCGGACATTACTCCACTTTGCTGTGGGAGTACTTATTTCAGTGACTTATGAATATCCATAATCATTTTGGTTTCCAAAGAAAAGTCGTTTTTTGTAGTTTAAGCTATTTCTTTGTAATGACATTTATGCATCCAACATTGCAACATTATAAAAGGCATTTATACCTCATTCACACCAACGGTGTTTCAGGGCCGGTTCGGAGCTGGAGCTTGAAAAGCACCGGGTTTTCCTGTTCACACAGCAGCGGAGCAGCCTCTTAGCTCCGGAATCCGGTTCATTTCGAGCACCAAAAAAATGTCCGGCCAGAGCAAAAGCACCACATACGTCACGCTTACGTCGAGGCGGGGGCAGGGGCGGGAGCGGGATCAACTCCTGAACAACAACAAAAAGCCGGCGTTTTATCCAGTTTGTACACAACGATGGAGAAACTTAACAATCAGCAGTGATCCACTGAAGAGACCAGCTACCTACTGGGAATCTGGTCTTCTGAAGAGGTACAGAGGAAGCTGGAGCACAATCGGCCATTGTTGTTGTTGTTGTTGTCGGTGTGAGCTGTGAGGGGTTTCCGCGCGGTTTGGCTTTATGAAGCAGGCACGCAAACGGTTACGTCATGACGCAAACGATGACGCAATGACGCAGCACAGGTCGGACCTCTGGCTAATGCTGAAAAGAGCCGGAGCTATAACCGAAGAACCGCTCT